CCCTCCAAGGCTGGGGTGTCACAACCATCCCTCCCCATCACACACAGGCCCCTGGGGACACCCAGCACCCTCCCCGATTGCAGAAGGAGCTTACTCGAGCCTTAACATCCCTCACAAGGTCCAGGTAGGGCATCCCCGGCTTCACCATCAGCATGTCGGCTCCCTCCCGCACATCCCGGTCCTGCAGGGGGAACACACAACCCCAGCAGCTCGGGGTACAGGAACAATCTACAGCAAGTCCGTGGTTTTCCCCACAAGATGTGTTCTGGGGGGTGGATTTCCCAGGAGGGGTCCCAAGGGGGTCTGGTGAGCACCCGATGGACACAGGAGCCCACAGACGGGCTGTGATGGGGGAGGCAAAGCTCCCCCCACCAGTTGGAAAATTATACCACATCCCTGGAAGTGATGCCCCATCCCTGGCAGTGTGCAAGGCCAGGTTGGATGGGGTTATGAGCAAGCTGGTCTAGTGGAGGGTGTCCCTGCCCGTGGCAGGGGGTTGGAGCTGGATGAGCTTTAAGGTCCCTTCCAACAGAAACCAGGCTGGGATTCTATGACCTGACACCCCAGGGTACAGGATCACCAGCTCCCAGCACACAGTCCTCAGGCCCCCACTGCGCACCAGCTCTGGCAGGCTGATGGGCTTCATGTTTCTCTTGTTGAGGGGGAAGACCCTTGGCTGTTTTGCTGCCTCCTATTCCCCTTTGACTCTAACAGCCATGACCTTGCTCTCCCCAAACCCTGCTGCACTGCACTGCTTCCCAGGGCAGGAGGACTTGTCTCCCAGGCACCACGTGAGGGTTCTCCAGTCCCCACAGCCCCATGACCCCCCCACTCACCACAGCACGCATGGCCAGGCCCCTGGCACCCGGGGGCAGCTGGTAGCATCTCCTGTCTCCAAAGGCAGGTTTGGATAGAGCAGCATCCCTGGTGACAGGGAAGGCAGGGGCAGGGGATGAGGACCAGCACTGCTCCCCGTGCCTCTCACCTCCTATAGCTCCAGAAACGAGCACAGACCAGGACAAGCATCTGAGGGGTATTCTCCTGACCCACCTCATCCCCCCAGGATCACTCAGGGAGGTCCAACAGGCCCAGGCTGAGCTGTGCTTCAACACCCACTGCTCCCCCCATGTGCAGAGTATGGGGTAAAATCGTGTCAGACATTGTCCTTTTGCTCTTTTCCAAGGAAGGTTCCTCAGGGATGTCCCATCAGGGTCAGGCCATTCTTGGGACAAGGTCTAACAGCTGACTGAGCTGAGCTTGTCCCTGAAGCTACCCTTTGGGGCAACACCAGCTCCTTCAACTCCGCTCCTCATTGCTTCTGTCAGCTGCAGGCAGCTCCCTTCCCTGCCTGCCTTGGAAGAGCAAAGGAACAGAGTAGACTCTGTTCCACCCCTTGATCTTCCCGCCAGCCTGCCTCTCCTGGGCAAGATAAATGTATCTTCCTTTCCCATTGGGAATAAGGAGGAGGGCACTCCAAAGAGACTAGCATGGTCCCAGCTGTGCCCCAGGCTCTGGCTGAGCCCCCTTCCCAAATAACTGCTTGGGAATGCAGCTTCCAGCTGAGGGACTGACCCACCTGAAGGGACCATAGAAGCATGAAGCAAACTTGGCACTGTAGCTCATCACCGAGACCTGCAGAGGAGAGCAGAGCTGTGAGGGCCAGGAGGTGGGTGCTGCATCCCCGGCAGCAGGGCAGAAGTGATTCCCTCCCATGGCTGTTCTATAATCTGCCCCACATCCGCCTTTCCCTGCCAGAGCCCTGGCACCTCGCTGTCCTCAAGTCCAGCCAAGTACATTCCCTTCCTGTGCACACCAGGATAGGGAAATGCCTGTGGCACATGGAACCCCAGACTGGTCTGGGTTGGAAGAGACCTTAAAGCTCCTCCAGCTCCAACCCCTGCCATGGGCAGGGACACCTTCCACTAGAGCAGGTTGCTCCAAGCCCCTGTGTCCAACCTGGCCTTGAACACTGCCAGGGATGGGGCAGCCACAGCTTCTCTGGGCACCCTGGGCCAGCGCCTCAGCACCCTCACGGGGAAGAGCTTCTGCCTCAGAGCTCATCTCAATCTCCCCTCTGGCAGGTTCAAGCCATTGCCTTTGTCCTGTCCCTACACCCTGGGCAAGGCAGAGGTTTGCTTCCCCCACTGCTCTCCCAGGTCCCATGGTGGCACAGGCTCCTCATGGATGTCACTCCTGACTCCGGCACATGAAGCTCCTAAGCTCACCTTGTTGCCCAGGTCATTGGAGATCAGCGCTGCCTTCATGGCCGCGATGCGCCCGTCCATCATATCTGAGGGGGCGACGATGTGGCAGCCTGCAGGGAAACGAGACACCGAGGAGTACCTCAGGCTTTGACTCTGCTGCAGGAGGAGGAGGAGGAGAACCCATGGCCAAAGGGACCCCAAGTGCTCACAGCTCAGAGGGCAGTGGGAGCCTCCCGCAGCTCAGAGCAAAACCCTCCCAGTTGGATCCAGGCCCTGTTTGCCTTTTGGGCTGCTGAAAGCAAGAGGGGACAAGTCCCAGAGGCTCCCGCTGCTGGGGACTCTCACCTGCTTTGGCATAGGCCAGCGCCACTTGTGCCAGGCGCTGGCAGCTCAGCTCGTTCTGGATGGTGCCGTCCTCGCGCAGGATGCCTGCGAGACAAACCCGGGTTACAGAGGGGCTGGACAGGCCCTGCCTCCATCTCTAGGGCAGGAGATGGCTCTGGAGACAAGCTATGAGAATATTCAGAGCAACAGCAGGGAATGTGTTAAGGGAGATGGGTAATGACTGGGAGACCAATGATGCAGCATTCTAGGGACTGGACATGACATGTGGGTGCTCCAGGGAAGGGAAGACAAGGATGGGGGACACAGATGGGTGCTCAGACAGACTCAGAGGCCAGAGTGGGTGCCTCAACCACCCATGCCTCCCACCCTGCTGCCAAAACCCAGGAGAGGTCTCCCAGGCTCAACTTCACCAGTACTGGGGAGCCAAGTCTTGGTGCAGCAGCTGGTCAGACCCCACCAGTACATGGAGCTCCCCAGCAGAAAATGATACCCCCCTGGAGATTCCCAGTGCCAGGCAAATGCCCAAGGAGCAGCACAGGGCCCAGGCTGTGTGCTCACCGCAGTGCCCATGGGAGGTGTAAGGGCACAAGCAGACATCACAGGCTATCAGCAGCTCTGGGAAGGTGGAGCGAATCTTCTTGATCGCCTGGATGGCAGGAGTGTCCTCTGCATCAGCAGCAGAGCCCTTCTCATCCTGTGAGGAGAGAAATGCCTCAGCACAGCCCAGGGCTTCCCACCCGCTCCTCCACAGCAGAGGAATCCTTTTCTGAACCAAGAGACCCTGTCACACAGGGCGGTGTGAGCACCAGCCATGATCAAGGGTGATGGAGTCGAGCCTCTGAGCACTACTCTCAGGTCTCAGGGCCACCTGCAAGAGCTTTCTGGGTGTCACTACAGTCCTCCCATCTCCATCCTGCTCTGCTGAGTGAGGTGCAAGCATGCCCAGACACCCTGAACTGCTCCTGCTTGATCAGCAGAACCTCCCTGGCCCCGCACTGTTCCCCCACACCCCTGTGGCTACCCCCTGCCACCATCACACACACTGACCTTGTGGACCTTGCTGGGCACCCCGAAGATGAGCACACACTTCAGACCGTCCTCAACGAGGGGATGCAGCATCCCCTCCAGCTTGTTGACTCCGTACCTGAGAAGAGCAAAGGGAAGGG